CGCTGTTGATGACGAATTTTTTTAGGAATTGGATTTAACTCATTATGACGTTAGAATAAGTGATGAGGAAAACTGTCAGAACACGAATATTAGTGCTGGGTTTAAGCTTAACTGATTTTTTTCTGCTAATTAGCTTTATAGTCATAAGCCTGGCGATAGAGTCTTATAAAGTACATCGGAGCATGAAGTCGTGGTTTCTAAATGCTAATCTATACACTAAATTTTTCGGAATTTGTGTGTCACCAATTAACGTCTTTATCAATGATTTCTGGTCTTCAACAAATTTAGTAGCTTTAACTTTCTTGGACTTGCTGAAATTAATTTTGGTCAGGTCTTCCAATGAAAAAAGTAAAAAATTTTTTGAGGAATTTTGAGGGAGTCATTAGCTGGAGTCAGTGAGTGGAAGAGAAATTATTATGTATTATGGTGTAAGAAGATTATGCTGAAATAAGCAATTGCTTAGTTTTAATACAATTCTTCAAATGATTTTGCAAAATTGATAGAAGTTATTATTAGTAATGTGATTTTCTCAAAAATTTAGGGAATCTTAATTTTTAGCTGAGAAAATTAGTTTTCTTATGTGGGTAAGATATGCTTATACGCAGCTGGTGTGCAGACGTATCACGACGTGGTATATTCTTATTGTATTCAGGTAAAGATCATAGTTGTTTAAAAGGTTAGTTGTATCCGTACCTGAGGATGTCAATTCACAGATTCCTTGAGAATTTGCTGAGTGTATTGACTTTGTTCAGCAAAAAATTGATGTACTTTAACTGCAGGATTTAGTTTCTTTGAAAAAAAGAAAAGAAAATGCCCTGAATAAAGTGTGTTTATTTGTGTAACAAATGAGGTATGATAAGATTTATTATATCGAAAAAGAATCTTCAGTGTAACAATTTGTGGTGTATATGATCCCTAAAAAAAGATTTTTTGGATTATATCAGCACAGGTAACAGTTCGCAAAATATCATTTTTGAGACGAATTTACAGTTCCGATCAAAAGTGGCAACGCGCGCATTGAAATTCATTTTGAGACAATAACAGTTGCATCTATTTTATTATAATGGAGCCCGAAGTACAATTATGTAAGATTTTAAGTTATGGGACATTAAAAACTACTAAGGGGCAAATTTTTATCATTTACAAATGCAAAAACCTACGTGTAGTTGGTAGTTATCGGCTTTAAGCTTAAAGATTTCTTTTAGCCTGAGTTAGGAAATTACCTTACCGGAAAAAGGGAAGTAAGGTAAACAAAATTTTGATTATTAAAAAATTGTAGGTAACTAAAAGCGGGTGTAATTTGTTGAAGATAAAGTTGCATAATAATAAAACAGTGGTATTTTCATTAATCAGCACTCTTGAAAGTTTTTAGAAGTGAAATACATTTGAAAATGACCATAAAAAGAGCTTGTCGAGTACAAGTACTTTGGTTACTTCACTGATAAATTATACATTTTGATTACATTCCATTAGTTATATATGAGCTTTTGTCAACTATAAATGTAGTTATTGACAAAAGTACTATTCAGTGATTCGATCAATGTAATCTCTTCAGTGAAGCGACATCAGAGTGTAGACGGGGTGGAAACAGCACACATTTAAACGGTCGACAGTTTTCTTCTCTTGGTCCTCTCCCTTATCCTCTCTATCGCTCTGTCAATGTTTGGAACAGATAATTGTCAAGAAAATTTTTCATCCTAATACTTTCCATTTGTCCAAAGGACTTTTCGGCAATATTTGTAACAGCAATTATAAGATGAATTACTCTGATAAAAATTTTTTAAAACTTTTTTTGAGTCAATAATTTAACGAAGGGTTAATCTGTTTACAGAAGTAAAGACCTATAATACATTTAAGATGAACCAAATTACCACTTTAAAATGTTACTAGTAGGCCCGAGACAATTGACATCTTTATTTGTTGATCTGTTGAACAACTCACGTGTACAGTTCGAAACTTGCGGCCTTACGAGTAGTGCTAAGGAGAGAGATCGTTGAGGAAACTGAATAATCAGAAAGAGAGATAGAGAGTGTGAAAAGATAAAAGTGACAAAACTGACGAACTTTAGAGATGAGGCTGACGGTTAAACAGCATTGGATGGATGGTCGGCCTTCTGGTCGCTGCGCAGAAGTGTACTATGCGTTTGGTATGTATATATTTGTCTATGTGTGCAGAGCCAAGAGGTTACGTATTGTGCTTAGCACCGGCAGTATTTACCTGGACAGAAAGCAGAAGCTCAACTGCATCGATGATTATACGACTGCCAACTAAAGGTCCACCACAGCGTTCCTTTCCTATCAATGTGCGGGGGGAAAGAGTACACGATGACGACAAACCTCTCCCAGTCTCATAGTCCCCTTCCGTTTCGCCACAAGAAAAAAATTACCAGGGGTCGTCCCCGCGGTTATCCCTGCAGTTGCCGATACATTACAACCCGCAGTGAATTCATTTGCTGTTTGCCGACTTTTCTGTGTTGTTCAGCACTTCAAATTATTCAAATGCCATCATATTTTCTTCTCAGGTCTCATTCAACATTTCGGTTTCTCCTGCTGTTCATCTTATAAAAGGATAGAATTTATCTGTGTTAATTGTAGTTTTCAAACTAGTACTTTTGCAGATGTTGAACTCACATAGCAATTTTTTTCATTGGTAAGTAGCTTTTTGGTTTTTTTTAGATATTCTTATAATTTTTCACTGTTTATGTCTCATAGAGTGTGGTTTTTTTTTCTTTTGGAAAATAACTAAAGAAGACTTTTTTGCTTTCTTACTTGAGTCATATTCTGTACGCATCCACTGAGTACAAAAATTCCGATTTTTGCATCAGTTTCTATCTTCATTACTGTTAAGTTTGCTTTATAAAGATAATGCCAACTGTTGTTATACTTTTGGTAGATTTAATATATACACAAATTTTTAACACTTTAAGTATAGGTGAACATTTAATGTATTGAAGCCGATGAAGAGGATTTCAACAAAATGAGACGAGTTCAACATTGAGAGAAAAAAGAAAAACAATTGGCATACATCTTACAAAATGAAAAACAATTCTATAACGAAATAAACTTCTTAACCGTTACGATTGTTTTACCATTCTTTTCAACCTGTTTTCAATTAATGGTTTATTTCACATGCTGCTTAAAAATAGTTACTGATTATTTTCTCAGTTTTATATTGAGAGCTTCTACTAAGAAACTGTTTTTATGTTTCCTAAAATTATAGTCATTTTGTTGTATCTTTTCTTTCCCTCTTTTTTTCCACTTCATTTCCTCTCCGTTCTTTAGATTTATTTTTATTTATTTAGCATCTGTGAAAGCTATAACTGCAACTGCAAGTTGAAACTGCTAAAATGCTAAAAAAAAAAAAAAACTTATAGAAGAATAAGGAAAAGAAAAAATAGATTCATATCGCATGAGGAGTGCAAATAGTTGAAAATATTGTATGGGATTACAAAATTTATGTCGTCTTCTTAACATTGACTGTTTACGGTTTTTTCGTTTCTCTTCCAAAGTGTATTTACTGTTGGAAAAAAAATTTTTTTTGGTGTATCTATACAATTATGTGATAAAAGCGGTGAGGGATATTAATCTTATGAGATGATCATTGGAGATCATCAATAGACTCTCCTTACTTCTTACAGATAAAGTTGAATTGTAGAATGGGATATACGCAAAAGTTTTTGTAAATATTTTGCAAATGTATATCGCAGCACGGAATGTTTTGGACTATTTTTTAAAAACTTTAACTGAAGAACCTGAATAAGACTGTATATTTGTTAAGAAGCTTTTTTTTTTTCTCGTTCTTTAAGCAAATAATCTGAAAAAAATCTTAAATGTTTTTAGCGGTCTTCAATTTTATCATTTTAGTGTCAGGCTTTAAGGACTGGCAGTACCAAAGTTTTTTTTTTATTTTGCCAGCATAAGCTTTCAAAAAATTTATTTACTTATTTTTTGGTCGTCAATAATTGCAGAAAGTAGGGATACAAAAGAATGATTTTATCCAATTTTTTTTTTTTTTTTGTTGTCCAAAATAAACTCGCCGGTCGAATAGAACGTTATTGGGTAACATCTAAGATTAGCAGCTTCTTATTTTCTTACATCTGTCTAGCAGTCAATTGCTCAGTTGACCTCTGTTCTTCTCCACAGTTTTTGAAGTCAAAAAAAAGGCTAAGTTTTACATACTGTTCAGTTCAATTATGAAATGATATATGAATGCTTTTTTTTTTTTTTTTTTTT